TCCAAGTCGGACGAGGGCGCTTCAGTTGTCAAAAGTTGAGCGAACAAAACTTCATTTCGGAGTTCAGATAGTCGCTCAATTAGCTGGTGAAGAATGGAGGTAGCAGCCGACTCTGAAGGCACTTGAAATAAAAGATCGCCAATGGTTTGAAGAAGACCGTCAGCAAGTCTAATCTCAGGTCAGGGAAAGGTTGATCAATTGCCTGCGCAATTATAGCTCGGGTGTCCGTCCGAGTTGGCACAACTGACAAGAGGGCTAGATCGGAACATCCCTGGAGGAAAGGATGTTTATTTCAGAATAAATGGAGAATAAATATTGAGAATTGACTGTGGAAGTTGTATTTACTTCTGGACGGATCGTGGTCACGGAAGGCGCCAAGAGTGTTATAAGTCTGGAAGGCTGGGCGGCTGGTACTGCAGCAGAAGCGGTTGCACTAGAGGCGACTGTAGCAGAAGTAGACGCCGGCGTGGCCATTGGCGTTATATCAGGAAGAGATGGGTCTGAAGCTACATAAGGCAACCTACCCATCTCTAGAGCAGTCGCCTCACTGTTAGATGAAATCCTTGTTGTTGCCAGTTCGGCTGGTGAAGGCGCCTGCATTAAGGTCTGTCGTTTGGTCGGGGGTTCAGGCGCATAAAGTTGGTCAGTTGGTGGCTTTGCTGCTTTGTTTGGGTTGGAAGTAGGTTGGACGGTCGTCCTGGCTGAAGTCGGACCTGAGTATAAAAAACAATAAGGATTAATAAAATGGTAAGGAAAGAATCAGACTAAGTTAAAAAAATGAAAATATACCTGGACGAGGTCGGGTCTTTATGGGGGCCCGACCTGATGGGCAGTCTATCAAGGTCGGTTGATTGTTTCCAGAGATGGGAACAGCTTGAGTCCAAGGAGCTCTTCTTTTCCTCTACGGAGTGCCCGATCCGGTGCCTTGAACGATTAATTTCCTTCGGGTATTGGTCAATGGGGTCGCCCCCAACACCACTACAGGCTGGGGCAGAAGAATGCCCAGCAGACGATCTTTGTCAGGAGCAATTAAGACCCAAGTGACCGACCACCACTCGCGAAAGGATTCAACTGAAGTTGGAGAAGTTCGGAAGGGAATGTAGGAGTTGGAAGTTATGTAATTGGTGAGCTGGGATACGTACGGGGCAATCAAATCAGGAATGACTCTCACATCTGGACTTTGAATTATTAAATGTGGATGGGCATTGGGACCAGGTAAGCTTTGTTGGCATCCGAATTGGCGTGCCAAAAATTGAGGCTGGTAGTTGAAGGTATAAAATGCTTTAGGGCCTTTCTTATCAATTTTCTTGCTAATAAATAAGGACCTGGGCTTAAGAGCAACATCCCAGGAGAAAGAGTAAGTTGGATGTGGGAGTGGGTCTGGTTCGGACAAAGGTGAAGATACATGGAATGGCCAAAACAGCTCGGACGCATAACCGATGTACTTTCGGTGCATGTAAAATCGGGAGTTACTACGGTCGTCGGTTAGAATAGCAGTGATGATAGGGTCGGATGCTTGGAGGTTGTAGCGACCTAAACAAAGTAGGTTAAGGGCTATTCCTAAAGACTTCTCAGGTGTGGGAGCAACGGTGTTGACCAAGTTGGAAAGCGTCGGGAAAATAGAGACGGAACCATACTTCCAAGAACCAAAAAGGACCCGAAGCGGCAGTATCTAATTTTTTACCGTCCTTATCTGTAAGGCGGGTGCTAACCCTGGATAACCCTTCAAAAAGATTGGCAAGGAAAAGAGTACCCAGAGAAAAGAATGGCCAGAGGCTATATGTATGGCAAAATCAAGATGAGTGGGAAGGACGCACTTCGAAGGAGAAATGATGACATACTTACAGAGCCAAAAGAGCAGAAAGGCAGTATGCTCGCGGTCGGTGACAGGGGTATCGTCTGCTCCTTGTTGATCGTTTAAAAATATGGTCCAGCCTCATTCCTTAACGCTAGCCAGAGACCAGCTTGTATGGTCTGCACTAGGCTCTTGTCCGTCTAGGGTACCCATTACAGGATCTTCTCCTACGATTGGCAGATGAGCGATCATGGCCACATCCATGAGTGTGGGGCCGATGGGGGCTGTTGGAAGAAGGAAGGCGCAAATCTCAGGGTGCCAGAACGCCGACATTGCTAGAAGAACCTTCTCATGTAAATGACATGGGAGAGTAGACAGGATTATGGCCTGGTCCATGTGTTAGATTTTCCATTGATCTTGAAAGTGTTCCGTGACCCTTTTGTACCAGGTGGGGTATGGATCCTTAGGATCCGTCAGATGAGTTTTTATGTTATCATGGAGGCGGACTGCGTTGTAGTTAGGATTGTTGACAACTAGTAGGTTTCGGGCTTCCAAGACTTCTCTCATTCGATTGGAGTCTTCAGAAGTGGTGCAGTATGGACGAATGGTTGGAGTGAGCATTTTCGTCGCCACAAAAGTTGTTTCAGGGATTGATCCGTCGAAGGGAAATGCAGGAATGTATTGATTCGCCATGGTTTAGAGTTGCAGAGACTGAGAGTACCAAAGGCTAGTATTGAAGAAGGGAGCGTTTTGTGGCACCAGATGTGTTGCAGTTACTGATTGTAGTTGCAGAGACGATTCCTCAGTAGGGTTGTGGTTTACGAACTTCCAAACGGCGATTGAGGAATGGCGTTTGAAAGTCTGATGGCGGCGGGCAAGTTGTTGCGTATGAAAATTATAATTAGGTTAAAAAGCCCAAGTCAGAAAGGGAGATGGGCCTATAATTGGGTCTGTTAGATCGATCAGGGAATGTTTCAAGAAAATTGGATGGCCCGCAGGTCGGAAAGTATGAAGGTCGGAAAGTCCGCAAGTCGGATGGTCCGCAGGTCGTAAGGTCCGAAGGTCGGAAAGGTCCGAAGGTCGGAAGGTCCGAAGGTCGGAAAGGTCCGAAGGTCGGAAGGTCCGAAGGTCGGAAAGTCCGCAGGTCGGAAGGTCCGAAGGTCGGAAAGTCCGCAGGTCGGAAGGTCCGCAGGTCGGAAAGTCCGCAGGTCGGAAGGTCCGCAGGTCGAAAAGTCTGCAGGTCGGAAAGTCCGCAGGTCGGAAAGTCCGCGGGGCGGAAGGTCCACAGGTCAAAAAGTCCGCAAGTCAGATGGTCTGCAGGTCGGATGGTGTGCAAGTCGGACAGTCTGTAAGTAGGATAGTCTGCAAGTCGGGAGGTTTGCGGCTGGACCAACAAATCGGGAGGTATGCGGTCGGACCAACAGGTCGGTTGGTTAGTGGTCGGATAGTCCGCCAGTCGGGAGGTTTGCGGTCAGACCAACAGGCCGATTGTTGTGGAGGTCCCCATTTTATTTAATGTTTGCCTTAATTATTTTGTAGATGGGCTTTTGGGCCTTTAATTAATTTCTCATATCAAGAGGATGTAGTTAGTCATGGTCATGACTAACTAGGTTGTGCAAATCTGAATTTTTCTTCCCTTTTTCTGCCAATTATGCCAAATTTAATATTTGTCCTCTGCACAAAACAAATAAACAATTCGCATATAAATTAGGTAGAATCCAATCAAAATCACCCAAATATTGCATATGATATGAATATAAAATGCATGCGATTTCCAACTATCAATTATCCCCACACCTAGATCATGCTTGCCCTCAAGCATGAATTCGAAATAAGCCAAAGAAATCGCAGGCAACTCGATATGACAAGAGGATCCAAAACAACCAATTCAATCCAAATTTTAACACATCAAGCCAAGTCAACCTCACAAGATAAAGTGTATTCGCACATGCTCTCTGAAGGAATTAAGTGTATAATTGGTTCAACACTCAGGTAGTGCAACAAAAGATTATCCTATAGGCTTGAGTAAAAATCAAATCTCCCTTGCTTAAAATATTCGAATATAGCATAGAGAATCAAAGGGACTTTCAACAAGGGTTGTAACGGGGCTTATGGTCAGGGTAGGAAAAAGGATATATAAGGGCTAAAATATGTCAGAAAAGAACACAATAAGAACACGATGCTAGCACATGAAGAACAAATCGGCATAAACAATGAAATCTTTACTCTATTCACTACCCAAACTTTAATAATGAAATTAAATGAAAATACTTTATTAAGATAATTATTTATTTATTTATTTTTGTATTATTTTTTTGTTTCTCTTTTTTTCGTTTTTTTTATATATTTTTTTTTTATTTCTTGTTTTTTTTTTTTGATTTTTTTTTTTGGCTTTTGCCTTTTTATATATATATACCTACACTACCCACAGTTATTCTTTCATACTATGACTTATTCGTACCCAAAATTCGTTTCTAACTAGTGCCGAAGAAATGAAGTGCATCACAACATGAACTTAAAGTAATTCATTCCAACATAGGGTTCAAATCAGAGAAGGCTCAATCGAAAGAAGGGTATGAGGCTAAAAAACATTTTATTATAAAAGAAAAAAATAGACTAAGAAGGCTCAAATGGGCTAACTAGGGGATATATTGTGCTGGGTAATAAAGAAAGGCTTAATGGGTTACCTAATGCCCTTATCATTTTCAAAACGCAAGACCCGATAGTTGCAAGTTCAACATGCATAATCACTCAAGTTCTAGGTCATCTAATTGAGCACTACAAATCACACATGAAAAAAATTTCCAAAAGCTTGAATATGTGCAATTTATTTTCTAATGTAACTTTTGGAACATAGGCTCAAATTCTCACAGGGTTCAAACGTCGACTTGACTCAACATATCACCAATAAAATGTCATTATTCATGCCAAACTAACCTATCACACAAATCACATTTGACTCACTTCAGACTAATCTCAAAAACATGCGAAAAGACAGCAAATAAGACATAAAAAGTAGCAAAAAAGAAAAATGAAAATTTTGCCCAAAAATTTGCATAACTCTCCCCACACCTAAAAGTATGCATTGTCCTCAATGTAAAGAAAGAAAAATGAAAATAGAAGGAAGAGAAGGAAGAGTAATGCTTCCCTGGTTTGACGAGCCGATTTCAATCGGTGCGGGGAATGAGTGACTGGATCATTAACTTTATCTTGAAGAGGGTTGTCTGCATTTCCTCTTAGTGATACCTGCTGATTGAGTAGCCTTGATGGAGCTTGAGGTCGAAGCTAGAACCGTACCCGTGAAACCTGCAAAACGAAATAAGCGGCAACACAGTAGCCTAGAACCAAATCAAGGCAATGTCTAACACTCAAATTCGACAAGTATTGAGATTTATCGCTTGAAAAAGAAGATCAATTCCAGAGTACCAAGAACAAGAATGTAATATTCTATCCGAAATCAGAATTGCACAAACTAATTCTATCGCCCAATCTTACCATCACACAAGAAAATGTCGACAGCAATATCAAACCAAATTTCTCAACAGCAAGGACAATAATTCAATAGGGAATTCTAAAGCAGTATAAGTAAATCACCCAATTCTCAACATAGAATCCAAAATTCCAAAATTGATAAGGGGTGAAGTAATACTACCAATACTAATGAACCGGCGGATGAGAGGAATCGGCTATTGTTCTGGGCAGAGGACGATCGGGCGGTGTCTGGCGTGGGCGACGGAAATCGGCGTGGGCAGAGGAAATCACTGGCGAAGGGGCGGCGGCTAAGGGCGACTGGATAAGGAGAAGAGGAAGAAGAAGAAGAAGAAGAAAAGGAAGAAAAATGAGAAGATGAAGAAGAAGATGGAGGACGATCGGCGGCGTCTCGGCAGAGGCCGGCGTGAACTGGCGAAGGCTCGGCGGTGAGATGTCTGGTGGAGGAGAATAAGAAGAAGGAGATGGAGAAGGGCGGAGGCGAAGCATCTGGCGGTCTGGCAGAGGGCGAGAGGGAGAGAGGAGAGAGAAAGAGAGAGGGAAAGGGAGAGAGAGGGGAATTATTTTATTTTATTTTTATTTATTTTATTTTGGAAATTTTTGGGTTAAAGGGGGATTGAAAGAATGAAAGGCAGTATGAGAAGTGGTTTTTAGTCATGGTCATGACTAAAGACTACCTTGCATGCTGGAAATTGGAGGGATTAGGCAGTGTTATAGGTGCTATTTAGTCATGATCATGACTAAATGGCACCTTGTGATCTGATTTTTTTTTTTTAAAGCGTTGCGCCTTCGTTAAGAATCAGTAATTATTTTTCAAAAGACCTGCATCAAATCAAACAAAACAATTAACAGTATTATTAGCAATTAAACAAAAAACAATTAAAATTAAAGAAAGCAATTAAATGATTTTGGGTTGTCTCCCAAAAAGCGCTTTTCTTTATAGTCTTTGAGTTAGACTTCGCCTCGCATCAATTCTGAACATCGAAATCGGCAACGGCTGCCAACTTTATAGGATCAAGTGAGGGTCCATCGTGGTATAATTTGAAGCGATGTCTATTGGCCACACACTTTTTCTTCGGCTTAGAATTTTGATTCTCCTTATGACATTTTTTTTATGCCAGCAATGGTGATCCCTTGGGAATCCATCTCCACTTTTCGACAATGTTTTTTCTTCTCTTACTCTATCCAGTTGGTCTTTTATCTAACTGTTTTGTTGACACAGTTTTTCGTTTATTCTCATTACCAACTTCATAAGTTTCCTGCACCACATAATTAATAACATTAATTGCATATAACGATTCAGATTCAACAGGACATTTGATGGGATTAAAAATATTGAAATGAAGTTCTTCTCCATCAAACTCCAAGCTGAGTGTGCCCTTTTTAACATCTATCTTTGTTCCTGCAGTGCACATAAAAGGTCTTCCTAACAAAAGAGGCAGTAGATTAAAGAAGTGTGCATCATGCATATCCAGAATATAAAAATCAACAGGAAAAATTAAGTCATTCACTTGAACTAGCACATTTTCTATCATACCATCAGGATAAGCATTAGTTCGATCAGCAAGTTGAATAAAAATTCCTGTTTCTTTTAGAGGCCCTAGATTTAAAGAGTCGTATATTGATCGAGGCATGACATTAATAGCAGCTCCTAGATCTAGCATAGCCTTAGTTATTTTGGTTTTTCCAATCTTACAAGGGATAGAAAACATACCTGGATCACCTGTTATCGGTGGTACCTTTCTTTTGAGAATAGCAGAAACGTTCTCACCCGCTATAATATGTTCGTCCCCTCGCAATTTTCTTTTGTTGGTGCATAGTTCTTTCAAAAACTTCGCGTACTTGGGGATTTGGTTGATAGCCTCCAGGAGCGGGATATTAAGTTCCACCTTCTTGAAGATTTCCATCATCTCTTTTCGTTTGTTCGCCTTTTGTGGTTTCTTTAACCTGTTAGGAAAAGGAGCTGATTTAGTTTCAGTAGGAAAAACGGAGTTAGGAGGTACCTTTTCGTGAAGTTCGGCCTCTTTTTGAATCTCCATCTTAATCTGATCCTCATTTTGTTCCTTTGAGATAGGAGGTGGACCTTCCAATTCCTTTCCGCTACGAAGCGTTATAGCACTCGTATTCTTTGGATTAGGCCGTGAGGAACATTCAATCATCGTATCACTGCAGATAGTGATGGCCTTGACATTTGCTGGATTTGACTCAGGCTGAGCAGGCCACTTTCCTCTTTCACGTAGCTGTTTCACCTCCTCTGACACTTGATTGATCTGACCTTGTAATTTGCCGACAGTTGACTTCATCTCTTGCTGGAATTGCAGGGTACTGGTAGCCATGGACTTCACCAAGTCTTCCAAAGATGGACTGGAGTTGCTTGTGGGTGCTTGGGGCAGCTGTTTCTCATAGAAACGAGGTTGTTGCATCTGATGCATAGCTCCGAATGGTTGATGAGCATTACCCTGCTGTGCGTTTCCATAACGCAGGTTCGGATGATCTCTCCAGCCTGGATTGTAGGTGTTAGAGTATGGATTGTACGCTGGAGGTCTATTCATACCGTAGTTTGCAATGTTCACATCCACTGCACAATTCTTCTTGGAGGGTCGAACATGCATCTGTAGGGTGTCCTGCACTCGTGCATATTCCACACACCTTGACCTGGACACTCGGGTTGGATTTTTCCACGACCATCTTGCAAACAAAGCTCGTCAACTCAGAAAGTTGTTGTTGCATCGATTGGATGGCATGGTCACTGTTGTTTCCGTTCATCTGTCCAACATCCCTTGAACCAAATTGCTGCGTGTTTTCAGCCATCCTCGCAATAAGATCCCAAGCTTGTGCCGGCGTCTTATTTACTAGAGCTCCACCACTTGCAGCGTCGATGATGTTCCTGTCCATCAATGATAAACCATCATAAAAATATTGAATCAATAGTTGAGGAGGAATTTGATGTTGTGGACATTTAATGATAAGCTTATTAAATAGCTCCAAATATTCATGGAGCGTTTCACCTAATTTTTGTTTGATGCCACATATTTCCTTCCTCAGGATCGCAGCTCTGGAAGCTGGAAAGTACTTCTCCAAAAATTTCTTTTTCATGTCGTTCCACGTGTCAATGCTTCCAGATGGGAGATAGTAGAGCCAATCCTTTACAGCATCTTTAAGTGAGAATGGGAAGGCTCTGAGTTTGATCTGTTCATCAGTAACACCTGGTGGTTTCATGCTGGAGCACACCACGTCAAACTCTTGCAAGTGTTTCTGAGGTTCTTCACCTGCAAGTCCATGAAAAGAAGGCAATAAATGAATTAATCCAGATTTCAGTTCAAAAGCAACAGTGTTTTTCAGAGTTGGAAAGTTAATGCATAAGGGCTGCTGCGCCAAGTTGGGAGCAGCCAACTCCCTTAGAGTGCGGGTATCTTCAGCCATGACAGTCTCTTGATCACTTTCAGAGTCGCTAGAGCTAGAGATTTTGAGGTGGTTTAAAGATTCTGCCAGCTTCGCAACCTGAGCAGCTTTTCGTTGCTTGGCTTCCTTTCGTAGCTTTCGCTCAACCTTCTCGATCTCAAGATTAAATATCAGTTCACCTGTACGAGAAGAACGGGGCATAAACAAGAGGATAAATTAAAATAACACAAACGAGTAAAACAAAGCGCCAATCCCCCGGAAACGGCGCCAAAAATTGACCTGTCGCGCAGTCAATCAAATATTTCACCTAATCCGTTATCACAATTTAATGTAATACAGGGGAAGGGATCGTCTCCACAGGGATTGTGTGATTCCCTCTTTCGTATTCTAATGCAATAAATAAATGAGGAATTTTCTTTTATTATCTAATTAAAATAAAATAACAAAGCAATTAAATTAAAGGGACTGACTGTCAAGGGGATGTCTGGCTCAAGGGATGATGCAGTTATGACACTTGTGTTTTATCATTAATTCAATAAAATTAATTCTTATTAAAGTATCAATAAATTGGTTATAGTTATCAACAAGCTCTGACAACCAATTTTTCCTTACAGTGTAGGTAATTAAGGTACGACCGTTAACTACCCCTAATTAAGCAAATAAACCTAGGTGCGCCCATAAGAATATTGCCTAACCGCATTGTAATCTAGAAAAACCCAATTCAAAATAATTACTACCTAGGAGGAGCAATTAGATTTTATTGTCTAACCCCCGGGAAGAAACTATTCAACCCGGTTATCACCTATTCAAGTGCGAATACAATTACGGATATCCTACCTGAATTGACTTTAGATTATCAAACTAATTTAAACATCGGTACCAAAATATTCAATCAATCTAGTAATCACAAACGCTATTATCAGAATCAGACAAATATTGATAATCAAAAAGAACTTTTATAAAGAAAATCAAGAATCTCCAAAACAAAAGAACCAAAACATTATCACCCCTCAAACCAGAAAAGTATCTACTCCATAATCAAATAACAAAGAATAAAAGAGAAAGATGAAGTCATAGTGGGAGGGGGAAATCTTCTCTGTCGATTTGCTCATGCGCGATCTATGAGTCTGTCAGTCTCCTACTCCTGTGCATTTCTGCCCTCGCCGTTCTCTCTTTTTGAAACGTGTGATCCCTCTTTTATTTAATGTTTGCCCTAATTATTTTGTAGATGGACTTTTGGGCCTTTAATTAATTTCTCATATCAAGAGGGTGTAGTTAGTCATGTCATGACTAACTAGGTTGTGCAAATCTGAATTTTTCTTCCCTTTTTCTGCCAATTTTGCCAAATTTGATATTTGCCCTCTGCACACAACAAATAAACAATTCGCATATAAATTAGGTAGAATCCAATCAAAATCACCCAAATATTGCATATGATATGAATATAAAATGCATGCGATTTCCAACTATCAAGTACAATCATGGTCTTACCAGAAATTGGCTTTTGCTTTTGTAGGTGGACAAAGCTTGTTTCGATAGCTTTGAAGAGGTGGATAATCTAGAAGGTAGTGGCGATTTAAGAAAATTCTAACATTTGAAAATTAGACAGTCTAATATTTGCATTTCTTTTTTCAGGGACGGAAAAGTGCAAATTGCAGCCTTCTAAAGGAGAATTGGAGGAAATTTTGGAACAGTTGAGGAGTCGAGCTCAAACTTACACTCGAATTTTTGGCGAGGAGTGTACTAAACTGGACTGCCTCTCCAACGAGGACAATGCTGACAGCCTCTCCAATATGATGGTTCCGCTTGATGATTTGGAAGAACATTTGTGGGACAGTGTCGTCAATTCAGTGGATTCTGCCAGCGGAGGCAATGCGGATGATGGCATTGGACGTCCGGTTAGATCAACAAGGAGAATCAATGCGCACCTGTCGTCAATTTACGTTGTGGATGAGCTGTGTGAACTGTCTTCCTATGAAGGCTTCACTCTGAGGAAGAGGCAGAAACTGAACAATGTTGAAAGAGTTGACACTGCAGAGGACAGTGTGCCTGTCGAGGCTTCAGGGAAGCGCACAGTCGGAAATCCAAAACGTAAGCCTGCAGTGAACTCTCCATAGAGGAAGACGAAGAACACAGATTGGAGCAGGTGGGTGCAGCCTCAGTGTCAAAGCGTTCCAAAGCTCCATGGACTAGTAGGAACAACCGCAATGGAGATGAGATGCCCTATTAACTTGAGGAGATGACGAAGTTCATGACGGGGGCCAAAACGAAGAAGATGAAGCCAAAACGATTTGACATCTGCAAGTTCCTAGAAGAATCCATTTTCCGACCACCATCTAGGACATTGCATACCGGTGAAGCTGAAGACTACCCTGCTTTTCCGAAGAAGTTCAGATTTGAAGAGGATGTCGTGGCACTGACTGAAGAGGAACAGCGAGAAGCTGAGGTAGCCAAGGAGGTGGACGACTTGTTTGATGACATGAACTTTGACTTGGCTGTGGAGGAAATGGGAGCAATTACCAGCCATGAGGTAAGTTGATTAGTTTCAATACTTGTGCAGATCAAATTCTATATATATTCAAACAATAGACAAGAACAGATTTGACACAGATTCAGAACTAATTCGTCACTATTATTATTATTATTATTCAGAAATCGATATAATAACTAACGATCCAGTGGATGAGGAGGAAGACACACAGGAGCGCAGATGTGCTCGAGGGCTGCATGAGTTGACATTAGAAGACGATGAGGGACTGTATTGTATCTACTGTCAACATGTGGGATGTAATTCCTCCGTGGGTAAGTATATATCGATTTTCTTAAGTTATCTATTCTCCCTAATTCTGCACTAATCTGTTATCTGAAAGTAGGTCAGTGTAATTTCATGTTGATTTAAAATTTGTGTGGCTACCCCTGTTTATACGGCTTCTTCTTCTTCCTCTTGCATGCGATCAAAACTCATCGCGCCGGGAAAGAAGAAGAAGCAGGAGAAAGGGGAGGGTCTGAATCTCAGCACCATGAGTCTCACAGTAACGGATGCAGCTGAAGTTAGCTGCTTGATGAGCGGCTCGGTTTGTAGCATCAAAGCTGGTGTACCAGAAACTCTATACGAACACCAACGAGAAGGATTTGAGTTCCTCTAGAAGAACATGGCAGGCAGTACTGACATTGCCTAGTTAAAGAACTCAAATCTACCTGGAGTGGGCGGATGCATCATTTCTCATGCACCAGGGACCGGAAAGACACGTCTAATGATTGTATTTCTTGAACGTATCTAAAGATGTTTCCAAACTGCCTGCCGATGATCATCGTCCCAGCCATAATAATGTTTGCAAAAATTGTTATTTCTGTTCTTTGGCCGCGTGTGAGGTTCGCGTGGTCACGCGCGGCCAAATAACAAAAATAGCTTGCAAGCATATAGGATATATTTTGAAAGCTACATAAATACACAACAAAAGCGACAATGACTATATATGCGGATATTTTTTAAAATTTTTCCCCATAAAATTACCCCAATTTTTATTATTATTACACAAATGACACTATTTTTTACACATACTACTTACAAGAAAAAATAATCTTTTAGATATCAATTTTTTTTACATCTCGTGCCCAAGACAAACCGATCTATTCTTATGGAGATAGTATAATGTTTACTAAAAACATAAATATGAACACTTTTAGATATCACCCAGAAAAGGAAAATAGACATTTTTTAATAATGGAAGAAGTATATGTGTTTATCAAAACTTACACTCTTATGTATGGCTTCTTAAGATGTTATATATGCTTTTTTTTAAATAAGTTCTGACAATTTTTTAGTCCAGTATTTAAATTTAAATTTCAAGTTGATTATCGAAGTTTGAATTAGAAACTTGAACTTAATCGAATGAATCTATATTGATATAAATATAAACAAGAATATGATTGATATTTAATTATAACGAAAAATGGCGAATTAGAAATAAGTGAAAAAATAGGCTATATGTTCACTTGATACAATATGGAACCTCAAGCTAAAATAGTTGTAAACTACAAAAGTAAATTAAAATTGATAACTCTAAAATTTTCAACAACTTGTTCGAGTTACGACGGTATAGTATAAAAAAATGCACTACAGTTTCTCCATTGTTTATTGTCTTCAAACTATTCTCAACATTACATGAAAAAGATCTAAATATTTGAAAAAACAAAATTATTTAGATGCGGGCTTCCAACCTAAAATCAATTAGTGATAGGTGGAGTGGCCCTTCATCCTTATACCCTTATATAGTAGGGGAGTTCCCACATATTTACCAATGTGGGACAATATTCAACATCACATCTAAGCTTCAGCACCGATGTCCTTGCCACACATGCAAATTTGGCAGTTAAAGACTAATTATGCTTCATGTACAAGTAATTTATAATTCTAGAGCGACAAAGGAATCACATAGAAAAACAAAAACAAAAAATAGAAAAGTTTACCCAATTAATTTTGGTATGGCTAAGAGTTTCAAACCACTTGCAATTAAAATAGCTTATCACTTCAAGTTTTCAACTTTGGTGTAATGTAATTTAATCCTTTAACGTGATGCCATAAATAAAATATTAATCTTGGAAAATGAGAGAACCTTTAAAAATTCAGCCAAAAATCTTTAAGAATAACTTGTCAGATTTAATCTGTTCATCTCATAGGAAAGGTTCAAGTTTGGTGAAAAAGTATTCCATAGCAGCTGTAAGAATTCAGATATGGCTGTAGCTGCTTATGCATCTTTGGTTTCTCTTACACAGGTCCTTGATAACATTCATTACCGAGCCCATCTTTGTCGCCTTCATGTGGACATAAAACACATCGAAACTTTACAGGGAAGTGTCAACTCTTTGTTGAAATTTGTTGAAGTTCACTCAGCAAAAGAAGGCAAAAGAATCCATGGTTTGTGGAGGGAAATAACTAAGGTTGCCTTCGAAGCAGAAGAAATATTTGATTTATATGTAGTAAATCAACTTAAGCTCCATTCTAAGGGGGTAGAGGTGATTTTGGCCTTTTATCTTTCAACACAGATATTGAGGGAGTGATCCAAATGTCTGACTTAATCATGAAAGAGTTGTCCGTGGAGGAAGATGTACCAAAGGATGTTCAAATCGGAAAACAACCCAAAGTTTCCGAGCTTGGTGGCACTTTGGTTGAAGGAACTTCATTGACTATCCCCGCCTGC